CTAAAGTAAAATAAAATTCATCTTGAACATCTAATCTGTTTGCTAACCGACAATCAAACAAGGCAAACTCACATTCTTCATGGGCAAACTCTGAGGGGTGAGGCCTCCACCGTGTGTCAGGCCTGCAGGCCTCTGTTGGGGTGGGGGGGGGGTGTCAGGTGAGCTTACTTCCTGTATAGATTCTGTAGGTGGAGCCTCAGGAAGCAGAAGGTAAGGGAGGGAGGAGCTACAGGAAGAAGGAGGAGATTTTTTTCCACAGGGAGAAAAGATTCTTACAACCTGCAAACTTAAATCCAGACGTACTTTAGAATCTGTGATCAACTGTTTTGCAGATCAGAGAGGTGTCACCGGCCCTCCTCCTGACGCCTCCAAGTTTGAACCCACCAGCATCCTGGGATTTCCTGCACCGCTCATCGCCGAGCAGCTCACCAAGACGGAGACGGTCAGTTCACCTTTCAGCCTGAACACGACACGAAGCAAAAATATTGAGAATTTATGGTAAATTTTGTACAATTCAATAAGTAATATTTTATCTTTTTTTTATGATTCGGTTTATTCTGACAAGATACAGAATACAATGTGTTTGCATCCAAGCGCCTGCACCTGCATTAAAGATAAACTTAATTTATATAGCACCTTTCAAACCAGAGTTACAAGATGCTTTACAAGTTAAAAAGTGAAGGCAAGCAGTTAAAAGCTATTTGACGATCCAACAGTTTTAGAGCACAGATACAGAAAAACTAAAAGAAAAGAGTTAAAACAAGACAAAAAATTGATTTAAGATCGAAACAAGGAGAAAGCAAACCTGTAAAATTGTGTCTGTAAAAGAGGAGAAGCAGTTTGATCTCCTCAAGGCCGTCACTGACGACCTCGCGTGGTGTCGAAAGATCTGAAGTGTACTTGAAAGCCAGTGAGGAGAAGCTAAACTCGGGAGTAATAAGCTCTTTTAGCAGATCGTGAAAAGTCTGGCTGCTGCGTTTTGGCCCGAGCTGTACTTTACTCTGTTTGTCCAGGCAGGTGAAGCGAGAGCTGCGTCTATACAAACAAGAGCAAATGAGAGGATTAATGAAAATCTCCTGGATAAGAACATGCTGATCTTTGAAATGAGCTGAGGTTTTGAGGTTTTTCACATTTCCAACCAGACACACAGAACACAGGTGCTTCTATGTGCAGGTATCGACTGTGTCAGGGCCTCAATATTCAGCTGCAGGAAATATGTAGATGAGTTCCGATATAATCTCAACCTCCCCTTTTCTATCATCTCGTTTTATCACTTCACGCCGTCGGCTGGTTTAACTGGTTTAGAATCATGAAAAAGAACAGAAAGGTGCCACCTGCTGAAACTAAACCTCTGTCAACGGGACATTTATGCAGCGTGACGGCACAGGAAACTTCACATTCTTCATTCAGGGATTTTTTTTTTTGAAAATTGTTTTATATATGTGAATATGCCGTCACTTCCCAGGAGCTGTTTGTCCGTCTGGTGCCGTACCACTGCCTCGGCTCACTGTGGTCGCAGAGGGATAAGAAGGGGAGGGAAGGCGTCTGTTGGTCCGTCCGGGCCACGGTGCGTCAGTTCAACAAGTTGGCCAATGCGGTTTTAGCATCCTGCCTTTGTCCGACGATGCTGCGCAGCCAGCAGAGAGCGCGGCTGCTGGAGAAATGGATCAGCGTGGCAGAGGTGAGTGGAACAAAAACCCCACAAGGTCACAGAAGCGATGCCATAAACATACATTTGTACAGTGTGGGGAATGAAACACAGCGTCAGTCGGGGTTGCAACTCTTCCGAAACGCTCCACTGTGCATTTTCCTACAATAAACCCATTTAATCCCCGAACCATAATCCTCTTCCCGGGTCTCTGACTGTGCACACAGCCTCACAAAGTCACAGCCTGCTCGGCTTCTGCTGCGACTGTACTTGTGATTTCACTTAAATAAAGAGCTGAAAGCAAAACAAATTAATGAAGTTTTGATTTATGCTTCTCTGCTGCACATGAGCGCATCTGGCAGTTTTGATTTTTGAAGATAAAACGAGAAATCGGATGTGCACGCACCGTCTCATACGCCTTAAGGAAAATGTACCCTGCGTGATTGGTACATACCGGTAATGTGCTGAGTCAAAACCATCTGACCTGGAGGCGAACAGCAAAAATGCAAATCTGCTTAAGAAACGACAGCTTTGTACGAGAGGAACCGTGGATTAACCGAGTGTTTTGGTTCCTGTGCACGATAATCAGCTTCTTTTAAAATACTGAGCGGTTTGCAGCAGTGACAGGTTATGCTCCCGTCCTCAGATGCTTGAGTCACTCGAGTGGTTTTTATTCCTTTCTCTCTGTGAACACAGCTTCAGCCGCTAATTCCTTTATGGAGCTGTGTTTGTCATCACATGCACATAAACACTCGCTCACACAGATTCGGTATCCTCTTGGGCGAAGCCAGATATCACTGGTGTGCTGCCAAAGCGCCAGGAACGTCCCCGGGTTTCTTTTGGAAGAAAAGCTCTTTTAGCGGTATACATTATTCAGCTCATGAGGCCGAGGCTGTAATTTAATACTCGGCAGAACTCAACCCCACAGGTGTTCTCACTTACATTGTGGGTATTCATCTGTGTGTGTGTGTATTCAACAGGAGTGCCGAGCCAGAAAGAACTTCTCCTCGCTGTACGCCATCGTGTCCGCTCTGCAGAGTAACCCCATCCACCGGCTGAGGAAGACGTGGCAGGACACCGACAGGTCCGTGACTGAACTACTTTTTACAGGGGAACAGAGATCCAAGGGTTTATTGTCATACGGACAGAAAATAGTTTTGTTTCAAAGCAGCATAAAATGAGTGTCTCTTGAGAAAGACGTCCATAAGGGACACTTGGTGTAAAGACTGGTGATGTCACAGATATACAGTTATATTCTTTTTTATGTTATTGTCGAGATGCAGGTGGGAAATGGCTGAAATGTTCCAAAGTGCAAAACATGTTATAACATCGTAAAAGGAAACTCAGGACACTTTGACCAAACAACTGTCAACCTCATAAAGACGTAAATGTTTCTTTCCTTTAACGTAAATGAGAACCTGTCTCTTCACAACATTAAGCCAAAGGAGACACATTTTGCACTTTTACATGAATGTGCGCTGGCTGTAAATAAACTTTGTCCTTTTACAGGGAGGCGGTGAGGAGATACGAGGAACTGTCAGAAATATTCTCAGAGAAGGACAACTACTCCCAGAGTCGAGAGCTCCTGAAGGAGGTGGGTTGTCGGAAATATAGTCTGTCCACTTTTAGGTACAGAGGTAAAAAGGACATCGGGGTTCTGACCGGTATCACGTTTACTTTACTTTAATTTAACCACTTGTGTTGGTTCATAATGAAAATAACTGTTGGCCTGACGGTTTCTCAGTTAAGGCTGTAAATAAAAATGGACGACATAGCTCTACTTCCTCCGACTGTACCGAACAGAAGCCAGAACATCCTGGACACGCTGGCCACCATCTTGAGCGGGAGACGATGGGGAGACGGAGCCGTGGCATCGAGGTCCTGTCGACCAATTAGTCTCAGTTGTCGATCGTGACATTTCGTCCCCGTTTCACGCAACTGAAGACACGTCCCTAACATCCGCTAACATCATCTGGTGGTAGTCCGTCAGATTTACCTTTAGCCTCGGCGTACCATCGGGTTCGGCCTGGTTCATTGATCACAAGGACAAAACTATCGATGACGCTAACATCCACTGGTGATTGCTAACACCTGCTAACACCTGCTTAACCTAAATTCTTCTAGAAGACCTTCAAACGTACAAAGGGATGTTCTTCTATTTTCTAAAATTCTGCTATCAAGTAAATAATTAAACCCAAACTTGGAAGAGAAATGATCATATTTTTTAGTTTGGTTCATGCCCTATTTGCTAACACGAAGCAGGCGGGGCTCTACGTTTGGAAACAGCCACCAGCAGGAGATGTTTCAGCTTCACTTCAGGGGGAGACGTCATGTCGTCCATCTTTGGATACGGTCCGTTACCGGGTCCAACACTTCTAGGTTACAGCCGTCGATCCTCAAACTTCAGTACGGAAACACAAACTCATCGACTAACATCTAACATCCCGGTGACGAGCGGCTCATGATTTGAAGCGGCAGCGTGAGACGTTCATTAACTTCACACACTGTCAGGCTTCATCCTCTGAAAACAACTTTCACTGTTGGAGGTTTAAGACTTTCTTTAAAGACCGGAAACCAGTTTAATCTGGTTGAGTAGAAATGCCCTTATTCTGTCAACACGTTCCCTTCAGTGTGATGAGCCCGTCTGAAGAAGTGCATTATATTTAGTTTACACTGTCAGTGAGTTGGGGTGGTGGGGGGGGGGTGGATTAGCTGTGTTTTGATTTGCTGTGGAATGGTGCCGCGCGAGCATCAATACCTTTGCATTAGCTGTGATTTCTACACATACGATGCCCCCAAAGGAATTCAACCAAACAGATGCTTTCATTTCCAAAGCGTCCCTCTCGTCTCTGATGCCGGAGAAACACCATCGCCTTCTGTTGCCCTTTTTCCTGCACAACCACTCGCTTCCCTTCATCTCGGGGCTTGTGTTAAAATGAGTGACGAGCAGACAGGGTGCAAGATGAACGGTTCTAATAAAAGTTAGGGGAAAAGAAATGATTCACCGCTCCGTCACCGGAGCGCTTGACAGTGTAATAACACTTTATTATAGCGTGGTTATGATAGACTGTCTTCTCGGCTAATGTCAAGTTGCCGTGACAGATCTGCAGACTGAGCGGTGTTGAAGCACCGTTATTAATGCTATAAAAATTAATCAGAAAATTATTCATGCTCAGAGAAACTGGGCCTAACAGAATTGTTTTATTTCTTTCATTGACATATTGGTATTAGCTTTTATGTTTGGTGATTTTCACTGATTTGGAAACTTTTATTTAAATAATGAACAATGTGCACTTAGGTTTTATTTTATGAAAAAACATCTTTATCTTCTAATACAAGTTCTATATATTTGGTTGTATTTGATTTTTAGTTATATTTAGAATAAAGTTTATGGTCAAACTGTAAAATACCAAAGCTCAGTTAAGCATTTCTTTGTCATAAGGATTTGATAGATTAAGAACCATTGCCACATTATTTGTGTAAATTAAATCTGGATTGGATGGATATTGTTGTGATATGATTTAAACTGCTGTTTTCAAAGTGATGAATGAACTTTGACCTGCAGATGTTCTCTGGCTTTTGTTTTGCAGGAGGGAACGTCAAAGTTTGCCAACATTGACAGCAGGCTGAACAACAGACATCTTAATAAGGTAAGCAGAGAGGAAATTAAAAAACAATCCAGGCTCAGCTTCCGGGGAGGCCGCCTTGTTTGTGGAAGGTCACAGGGTTACAGATAATTAACTTCCTCAACAACCACTTGAAAAGCACAGACTGTTGTTGTGCAGGTCAGCGCTCAGGTGTAAACACTTCTGATGACAAACGTCTCTCGAAAGGCTCCGTGTGGCCGCACAGTTTAACATTTGTGAATTATTCTGAGCGCGGTGTCAGATCGTTTTCATCAGCCAGATATTTCAGATTGTGTCACAGAGGAGCATCTTTAAATGACTCCAGTGTTTGTCACCGAGGCAAAACCTCAGATCTTCAGACACATAAAAAAGATCAATTTCCATGAAGAGAACGGCTCGTGTTTGGTTTGAATACCAAACATTTCAGCCTGAGGGATAGTTCACCCCCCACAGGCCTTTGTGGGAGACTTTGGAATATTTGGAAATGATGTAAGAGCCTGTAAAAGTTAGGGGACAAAGATACGGTATAATGTCTTTATAGAAATTATCTGTATTTTTATAGCTCATAAAGCAGCGGACGTGAGTCTTATTGTGTGTAGTACTCGTTCTGCTGTGCAAAGTTGTAGTATGACGCTAATATTTTTTGGACTGACGCCGATGGAGTAAAAAAGTTTTCATATCAGCACATATTGGACCTCATACACATCTGTGACAGGACGATAACGGCCGATAAAACCCGTCCAGCTGATTTACTTATCTGGGCTCTGGTTAAACGCACGTTAATAAAAAGCTGCATTGCTTTGCTGCAGGATTAATAATGGATTACATCCTAAAACTGCTTGAAAATAGTGTTTTCCTACAAAATTCAAACATCGATACTGATGTCACTTGTGCTGAGCGCGGCGGGATCACTGGTTTGATGGAGGGTTGTGAGAGGGCTCGACCAGCATGCAGCAACCGAGTGGAACACAGAGCTGCCAGCTGTGTGTGTGTGTGTGTGTGTGTGTGTTCGCCTCAGTTTGAAAATAGCTGCAGGAGCTGCTCTGAAATCCCTCGCTGTCAAATCTCTTTACGACGCGGACAGAAGACTCTGGGGAACTAACAAAACCTTTTCTTTGTTGTTGTTCTACCACAGTCCACCGCCCAGGGCACCGTGCCCTACCTGGGCATCTTCCTCACAGACCTCACCATGCTGGACACCGCCGTCAAAGACAGGCTCGACGTAAGTTCCTCTCGTCTCTAACGAGGCGAAACGGGGTCACAAATCTGGAAGCTGCTCTGTCTTTTACAATCCAACTTAAATTCTGTCACTTCCTCCGCAGAATGGCTACATCAACTTTGACAAAAGGAGAAGGGTGAGTGTTGCAGTACGTTTTTTCCTCTGAAAGATAAAGGTTAGAAGTTTAATACATTATCTATTTCCATGCTCTTAAAATTAACAGTCCCTAAACTAAGCTGATGCTTTCAACAAGTGAAGCAGCAAAAAAAGCTTCACGGTGTTAAAAGAGTCTGACGGTAAGAATAGAAGCCCCCCCCCCTGATCAAAACCCTGTGACCCTGAGAAAATAGGAGCCACGCTAAGAGGAGATACAGGAGGGGATGGTTTCACAGTGAGAGCATATCAGAGCGAGCCGAGGTAACAGAGTATCTGAGGGAGGAAATGATTAAGTGGAAGGTGCTGTGAAGTGAAAGAAGCTGCACAGTTATACTACACCAGTGAACGTGTGGGTGTGTGGTTTTTTTTAAAAAAACTTTGTGGTGATACAACTCTTTGTTTTTGCAGGAATTTGAGGTTTTGGCTCAAATCCGTCTCCTGCAGTCTTCCTGCAAAAACTGTGTTTTCAGCTCGGACGAGTCCTTCATGCTGTGGTATCACAGTGTTCCCACACTGACCGAGGAGGAGAGGTAAAGGTTCAGACGCCGATTACAAACCATGTGGAAGGCATTCATTCTTTACTCTCACTGAAATTAATATATTCTGTTAATTCCGATGTTCTCTATCAGTTACAGACTGTCCAACGAAATTGAAGCGCCCAGCGAGCCGAGCCCACGCGGCCTCACTCCGACAGTCATCATCACACAGTGTTCAGAGTAAGAACCTGCTCTCTCTCACACACACACACACAACGAACAATCATTATTTTCAACCTTAATTTGACTGTTTGTGAATTTCCTGGTGTCGGCAGCCTGAGCACCTCGCGGACGAGTCTGGCGGGCGACAGCGACAGCCTCTTTGACTTCCCCTCGCCCGTCAACAACCTGCTATCAAAACTCACAAAGGTAACATGTCGTTACTGATCTCACTCTTTCTGCTTTGGTCTCTGAGAGTTAGGTTCTCAGTCGTTATTATTGGATTCTAGAGGCCACGTATGAGATCAGTGAAGGTCGGTTCTACATCTCATGTAACATGAGATCTCGTGTAACATGAGATGTAGGACGAAGACAATTTGAAAGGTAAACAGAGAGTTAATTGCCCAAATGCAGATAATCATGGAGGCTGAGGCTCATCTGTTTCTCTGCTGCTTCCGTCTATTTTACTCAGAAACCTTTGGGAAGTCTCTCAGAAAACAAATCGAAAGCGAGCAGCAGTGTAATCAACACGTAAAAAAACAATCCTGCCCGGTCGTTAGTCTCCAGAAACAATCGTCACCAATGCCAGTTTTGTTCTGTTGCAGCATATGAGATCTCCATCTGTGTCCTGTCTGGATGTGGACACGTCCCCTTCCACCACAGACTCCACCCCCGCCACTCTGACTCCATCTACCCCCACGAAATCCCACCGCCGCTCGGCCTCCTGCGGCAACAACCCCCCCAACAAAGCGCAAGGGTCCGGGCCGGACATGCGGATCATCAGGATCGGGATGGACCTGCAGGATGGAAACCTCTACAAAAGCATTCTGGTAGGAACTCAAAGTGTTTGGTTCTAATGTACAGCAGCAGCCATGACACCGTAACACAGTACGTCCCGAATTATCTGTGACACGCTGCACTTATCAGCGAAGATCCCGTAATGATAGTGATCAGCATCAGATCCTTCGGGATAAAGTGGACGCAGGATGTCATTAGTGCAAATCAAGCCGTCCTAAAGTCACTGTTGTTTATCTCCCTCCCCCCCCTCAGGTTACGAGCAATGACAAGACCCCCACTGTGATCAGCTCCGCCTTAGAGAAGCACAATCAGGACCCCAAACAGACGTCCAAGTACGAGCTGATCCAGCTCCTGCCTGACGCAAAAGGTAAAGATATACAGCAATGGTCCCTCGTTTCTCTGTCTTCCTTGGAGCGAGACACTGAGCCCTCAATCTCGGAGCCCGTCGGCTGTTGTCTGACGAGGAATTAGCCCCTGGGGACAATATTTTGGGTCTAGACAGAAGATGTCCGGGCTAAGACTTGCAAAGTGAGACGCAAGAATAGAGGACACATCTACATCGACGCTCCTTGTCGGTGTTTTAGGCCCAGATGACGTTTTGGCTGCGGAAGATTGTTCTCACCTTTGAGGACGTGCACATACGAGATGGATTTTCTGCTTGGTGTCTAATTCACGGTCTAATTTAGCGAATACCAGTGTGATGTGGAAGCAGGAGACATTTTGTGTTTTTATACGACAGTAACAGTAGAGGGATGACAAGAAACAAGTAAAGTACACGTCTCTGCCACCAGGACCCACCTTCCATTGTCACTTTCTGAGTATTGATGGTATCAGCGCCGCGGCCATTGAGAAGCTCTATTGAATTGTGTGTGTTTATCTCTTGATGCAGAACTGGTCATCCCCGCTACAGGAAACGTCTTCTACGCCATGACATCATCCAGCGTTGACTTCCTGCTGAGGAGGAAAGGCGGGAACACTCCTCTTGGCTCGCAGCCGATCAGCACAGAGACGAGCGCCACGTTTCCTCGAATCAAGGCCAAGGGGAGGAGGCTGGTCAGGAATCTGTTTTGACGTTAGATCTTCGTCAACTTTGACCTCTTCTCTTGTCGCCCCCCCCCCCCGACGAACACACGGGGGAGATCCCTCAATGACGTGGCCTTCCCCGTGCAAAACGAGAAGCTACACATGCCTTTACCCCATGCTCCTCAGAAGCCTCTTCTACCAAAGCACAGAGACCAAGTACATCAGACATTTCAGAAGCTCCTGCGTT